ATACATTGATGATGTTGCCTTTGTTTTTATGTATGTTGTACTTTTAAAAAATTATTTAAACATGTACATGCATAGTTAATTACAGCTTAAAAAAAGAAGATGCCTTTGATATGTATTGATAATTATTGTTATGTCAACAGGAGTGTAATTACAGTGTATCAAAATTAAGTGACAATATAAAATGCTATTTCAATTTTTTTTTTACATTGGATTGTAAGACATAATAACGTAGCAGGAGCCATGGAAATAATCTTGTTGGAGATATATTTTAGGAATAAAAAATCACATATGGTACCATTAGAGAGGGTGTACTTTTACTCTTGCAGTATCTTTCAGTTGCAGCTTCTAACTTGCCACCTGAAGCTCAGAGATCACAGACATGGGGACACTGTGGGCAGTGCTAGAAGCTTAGGTGCCCCTTCCCTGTCTGTTAAGAATTGTGAGAAGGTGTAGCAGAAGGACTTAGAAGTGATTTTCTTCAATTTTCTATAACATTTCCTCTGAAATTCTTCCCATTTTTGAAATGAGTAAATTGAAGCACAAATATACTAAATCATTCACCCAAAGTCACAGCCTAGTAAGCAATAGAGTCTACATTTGAACACAGGCAATCTGACTCCACAGGTAAGAATATAATACATACTGGGACCAGCAGTTGGCATAATGGGTAGGTCGCTGGACTTCCACGCAATTGACCACGGTTCAAGTCCCGGATCTGGTGGCTTAAACTCACACCAGGCACATGTGTGTGCATCCCCAGGATCCCAAGAGAAGAATGGAGGAGAAGGGACTGTGGCATGGCCATCCCCCCTGGGGGGTGATTTCTCACTGTCTATTTCTCTGTCTCTCTTTCTGGTGAGCACATGTGCCCTATAGCAAAGACCTCTCCAAAAAAAAAAAAAATGTAATACGTATTAACAATTGCTTCCACCTAAATTCTTACTGCTTGCCAAGCATTGTTTCAAAGCACATTAAGTATACTATACACAATTTCACAAGAATGCTCAAAGATACATATATTATCCTAATAGTTATGCTAAGAAAACTGAGGCATATAAAGTATATTATATAACTTTCTCAAGGATGGATAACTATTAAATAGCAGAGTCAAGCTTTCAATAGTGCTCTATTTCTTCAATCTGTCATTTTCTCTGCTGTCCTTACTTTTCCCCTCTTCTGTTTGCCATTATTCTCTTAACCATCTATTTGGTCTATCTCCTTATGACTTAAAATTTATAGCATTATGCTGTATTTAATTCATCTCTAACATAAGAGTTTACTAAGGGCATAAATGCAACTTAAGACTGAAAACTAGATTATAGAGTATGTTAACCCAAAATCTAAGCCTTTGCAATATATCATACCTAAAAAAATATTTTATCTGACTAAAATGCTAACAGTATTTCCAAGTGTTAAATCATCATAGGCCAAGTATATTTAGTAATATATACATATACATATGTATATTATAAAAGCACAGATGGTAACCTAAGATATTATAGATTTTGAAACATATTCTCAAATAATGCTGTTATTTTAATTCGTTTGTTTCATTCTATGAGATCCTTCCATTGCTTAACTCTGTATAAAATTTTCTTTTGTAAAAAGCTTTAAGAAATACTTGTTCACTTGCATCAATGTTATTATAGCTTCAATTTAAATTTTTAATGTTATTTCTTTAATACAGTATTTTCAGGATTTGCAGAACTTATGTATTTTAAAATATTACATGTGGTTAACTAAGCTTGTTAGATTCTTTGCATATATTGTTTACTTCTTACTGCTCTCTGCGGAGTTAATTTGTCACCATTAATAGCTGCATTTTCTTTGTTCTATATTGAATACTCCAGGGTTTCCTAATAAGACCAGCATGTCTAAGTATTGACTAACAAAACTACACCACAATCTTGTCATTGGGGTTGTCTCTAATACATATTGTCTATAAAACTTTTTAATGAGTACTATTTTAATGAATAACCTTTTCATGAACATCTGATCATTATACCATACTTCTTGAAACTAACATAAGACAATCAGTTTTCAGGTGTCTTTTTTTTTTTTTTAATACACTGTTGAAAAAGTAGTTTATTTCATTTCATTATGAAATAATTATGTCTATAAATACTATTATTAACCATGCTTTTTTCTTTCTTTCTCTCTTCCTTTTTTTTTTTTTTTGAGAGTTTTTTTGCCTTTGAGTGCATGTGCTCACTGGAGAAAAACAGTAAGAGGGAAAGTGAGAAATCACTGGAATCCCTTGTTTCCCTTCTTCTCCTGGGATCTTGAGCACATATGCACATGGGTCCAGTGTGAGTTTGAAGACATTGGGCCTGGGACTCGAACTGAGGTTGACCATGTGGGAGGCCAGCAATATAATCACTATGCCATCTGCTGGTCCCAACAGTATCTTTTTCAATATAAACTTTTAAAAATGATGCTTTGTTTAGTAAATTTTGAAAACAAAAACCAGATAAAATTTAATTTTCTCAGTGGTCAATTAATACAATTATGGAATATATTTGGTATGTGCAAAGCATTTACCATGAAGAAGGATTAGCAAATACTAATTTATCAAAAGGAGCATTTTTAGACTAAGAACGACTTAATTAGACAGTGTTTTTCTAAGGATTGGTTAAAGCCTTGAAGTATTACTTCCAAATATTCCAGCATATTGTAATTTTTATTTGAGTTTATTAGTTCACTTCAAGCAAATAACTATTAATACTTAATTCTACTAGGATTTGAACCACAGTTGACCAAGAACAACCATAAAATAGTATGATTCTGTTACATTATTCTTGGTGATACCATTTGTCTTCTAGGTAACACTTGTCACTGTGTATCGAATATACCATGCTCTGCACTTAATAAATACTATTCTACAAGATTCTCACAAAACCCCTCTGAAGTAGCCTTTCTGCCTCTCATTTTACAGATGAAGAAACTGAGGCTTAAAGAGTTTAATGAACATGAATGACTAAGAAGGGGAACGAAGAGTTGAGCACATCTCTGTTCACCATAAAGCCCATGCTTTTGTCTAGCTTCATCAACACAAATGCAAACTGTAGTCTAGTGGTTTTTAAAGAGAGAGAGAAGAGGGTGTTATATTTTGGAGAAAGAGTAAGAGTAGAAAATGCTACCTTTCCCCAATTAATTCCCCTTTGTTCCTATCTAATAAGACCTGAAGTCTGCTCCAAGACTTATGCAAAATTTAACATTGTCTTTATTTTTATTTTTTTGTATTTGTGAGTGGTGTATGCACACACGAGAGAGACAGAGAGATGCCCAGTGATGTGTAGCCATGCCATAAACCTCTTCTCCATTTCTCCATTCTTTCGGGACTTTGGGAACTGTGTGCACTTATATCCAGTTTGTTTCTCAAGCCTTGAGAACTAGGATTTGAACCACAGTTGACCAAGTGGGATCTGGTTTCCTTAATCATCAGGTCTTGGGGCTGGTCCTAACAATGTATTTCTTGCCTTTACGTTAGTTATTCCAAAGGAAGAAAATGGTAGTAATATGGGTTAAAACAGTGAAACTTGACAATCTTCTCGCATCACCACCACCAAATCATACTAAATAGAAGGTTGTCTTACAAACAGAGGAAACCTCATTCCATGGCATGAAAGGACTCCATGAAGCAATCTAACAGGTTGCCTAATGTCATCGACCAACTTGACTATTCAAGTCACAAAGAGAATGAATTCAGTTATATTGGGTTGTACAAAAAGTCATGAATTGTTTTTCTATTAAAAATTGCATCATGATGTTTCCAAAGACCCAATATTTACAGACTAAATGCATACGGTGTACAGAACTAAAGTTTACAACAAATAAAGAGATCTTGTGTTACAGTCTTTCTGAAGGTATTCATTTTTTGAAGATAAATGTAAACTAGAAAATCATTCTGTACTAGGCAATATAATTAAAATAGTTTATGGTCAACTTCCAGAGACACTACATCAGAAGTTTCTGAAATATCTTGGAACTGAAAAGATTCTTTTTTTCTTAAGAGAGAGAGAGAGACAGAAAAAGAGGAAGGGTGAGAGAGAAGATAGGTGAGGGAGAAAGAGAGAGGCATTTTTGACAGGATCTTGACTACAGGGGCAGGTCACTGTTCCTAGCTTGTTTAGATTGGGGCTGGGAGCTGAACCTGGGCCTCTCATGTGGCTTCAGCTACCATGTACCAGTACCCTCCCATGTGTACCACTGCAACTACATCTGGAAAGTTCTTTTGAGCAACTCATTTTCTTCTTTCTTCTTCTTTTTTTTTTATTTTTTAGAGAGAGATTATTTGCTATAGTGCACATGTGCTTGTCAGAGAAATAGAGAGAGACAGAGAGAGAAAAAGTGAGAAATCATGCCCTGGAGGATGGCCATGCTGCAATGCAATCCCTTCTCCTTCATTCTCTTTTTGGAACTTTGGGCACACATGCACACTTTTTTTTGAAGAGATTTTTGCTATAGGGTGTGTGCACTTCCCAGAGAGACAGAGAGAGAAAGTGAGAGATCACTCCCCAGGAGGGGTGGACATACTGCAATCCCTCGCCCACCATCCTCTTCTTGGGATTTCGAGCATACACACACACAGGCCCACCATGAGTTTCAAGTTGTCATATCCTGGACTCGAACTGCAGTCAGCCCTGTGGGAGTCCAGAGCCTGAAGAACTACGCCATCTGCTGGTCCTGCACAGACCTTTGTTCCCTTCAAATCATTCATTCAACAACATGACAGAAGAACTATTTACATTATGCTAGGTATTGTAAGTAACCTAGACAGGATTTAAAACACACAGAGGATGTGTGTTTTATAAAATACTACAGCATTTCATGTAAGGGACTTGAGCATTCATGGATTTTGGTCCTAGAATCAATCTTCCATGGATACTGAAGAATGACTGTAATGCCTATGTACAGTGCTTCGCTCCTACAAAACTAGCAATGAAACCAAGAAAAATAAAGCTAAACATACATTTGAGATTAAACATAAATATCATTACCACCATCTGCGAAGCCGGTTGCAGTAATAATAGGTACGGCCACCATAATTAGGCCACTGCTGCTCCAAACATACTTCATCAAGAACTGTTCTATCATGATGTACCACAAACGTTTGGATAAAATGAGGTTCATCTGCTCTGCTAAAGCTTTGTAACTTTTCTGGAGTTGCTTCATTTCTACCTGTAGAGGGAAAAAGAGAGAAGAATTAAGCCAGTTTTGAGCTATTAAAAATAAACATTGTCTGTGCTTAGAACTATCTTAATTATTTAAAATATTATTTAAAAATATATATTGTATGTGTTTAAGAACTCTCTTTTCTTCATTTCTTTCTTTAAAAAATATATATATATTATTTTGTTTTATTTAGTATGGCATTATCAATGAGTCTTAACCATCACTAAATGCAGATTAATATCAGAATTATCATCATTATTTAATTTTGGCCATGCTTATATTATTTTTTAAAAAACTTGTCACTCAGTGAATACAATGTTAAGTATAAAAAGTATATGATTTATAGTTATAATTTCAAAATTATATGTATAAGATGTTAAAATTAAATAATGTTCTATAAGACATAAATAGACAATGTTAGAGCCTTATTCTTCTTGATCACATAAAAAAATCTGAAAATAAATACATGATACATATATGCATAATTCGACTATACTTTTGAACTGACTCAATTTATTGGATTTTTGTCTTTTATGCAAGAAGCCTATATAATGATGTACTATAATTTATATCATCGAGTTCAATGACTCAAGAAGAATGACAAATCCATATGATTAATACAACAAATGAGGCCAATTTTCAAGTGGGAGTAGAAGTCTTATATTTTCTTCAGGTTTGTACCGCTATTAAAAAAATGATAATTACTGATGTTTTAAAAATTAAATAATTTTTCTTGATGATTAAAATACCATTTTCAACTTTAGAGTATCTTAAAATTTTATTTGTCCAGTCACTTTTGTTCAGATTTCAGATGCATCACCTTAAAAATTTCAGTCATACTTAGTATTCTGAGATTAATTTCATGCACTGAGTTTATGTAACTGGGCTAATTGTTTTAAAGACCTGCTTGCTTGAAAATCTTTAATATGTAAAAATAACATCTGACACCCCTTTCTCCTCATTTTTTCTCTAATCTTAGCTTTTTCCTCAAACTTAGCAAAATTTCATTTCACTGCCTCTTTTTACTTGTGTCAAAATATGGTGCTGAATATGAACTAAGAGTAAAGAGATGTCATTTTTTGAGACACACTTGTCTCAGGACTGAGGATAACTCCATCAGTTTCCAGACATGCAAATCGTTTTCTGTGTGAAAGCGTGGGCTTTGTTCTCTTGAACAACAACAAAAACAACAAATAATAGCATCCTAAACTCTCCATCTCAATGCAACTGTTTGCTTTCAGTTTCTCGCTATATCTTTTCTTCTCCTGCTCTAAGATCACCTCAAAGTTAGGATTTAAGTTTTAAGAAAAATGTAAGAGATAATTCTGAGCACATTTGAGTAACTGAGGCTAAGTAGACTGCTTTTTTAGAGTGCTGAAAATGTTTTCAGTAAACTTTAGACAAATTTGTACTCCATAATTCTGTATCAGCTTTTGATTAACAAGAGTAATGAAGCATATATTTTTATACAGGTTTAGATGTCAGAGGAATCTAAAACACTAAAGTGGTTCCATGCACAATACAACAGATGGCATCTAGCACTGCAGTGGCAGTTTGAACGGTCTCACATTTCACTCATCACCTTAATTTCTAGCTTACCTTATGTCCTCGGTAAAAAGCAATTTCTTCCACATTGGCTATAATTCTGGAGTGCACGTACCGCAAATAGCCTTTTCTATGAGCTTCTTCAGCCACCAATTTACCAAATTTGGGCGAGCAGGCTTTCAACACTTTAGCAGTAGCATACACCACAAGTCCTGCCAATAGGGTGGGCCCAATTGGGCTTGCCCCTCTGGAAGTAGCTGTCTGAATGAGTGTATAGGAAGTGAGGATTACATCTAAAATAGGTTTGGTCAGATTGGAATACAAGTGAGCCACTGATTGGGAGAACATCATGATATCTTCAGTGAGAGACTGGTCAGGGTTTGCCAGTCTCCCATCCATATTGATCACCTTATAATAAGTCTGATTTGTAAAATAGGTTTCATAGGCATGGTCTACCAGGCGAGTTCTGAAGGCCAAAGCCAATTTGCACTCCAGGTATCTTATTGCACTGTTGACGAAGGTGGCAGGGATGGCAATCATAAGCCACTTGATTAATTTGATGATGAAAGTCCGAGGTTTCTTTTCCACAATGCTTTTCACGATTTTCCCATCCAGACCAGCCACATAGATAGACAGAAAGGTTCTTGAGATTAGAGCCACCGAGTGGAGGCAGAGCCACCCTGTTTCAGTGGTCACGAGTTTTGGAAAGAGAATTTTCCGAAGTTCTAGTAGCTGTTTGAAAAAATCTGCATTCACTCCAGGAGGTTTTTGACAAATGTTCTCGGTGCAATGCAGTATTTCTCTGTTCTCTGCAACTGGGTTAGCAGCTTCTTTTTTCTTCCTGTTGCCAGATTGCTTTAAACGCTTGCCAATGATGGGATAGAGGGTTTTCAGAGCGTATGCCGCAGCCACCAGGCAGGCAGCCCTCTTAGCAGCACTCGATCTGGTCCATTTCACTCGATCAACTGCTGCACTTAGCATATGTGTCATTTTCCCAGTTACCCAAACCGGCTTCAAAAAGATCTCGTTTTAAAATATCATGCTCCACGGGAAATCCCAGCAAATGCTTCAGCAAGTCCTACGGAGTTCCATAGCCTGCAGCGTTTCTCCTCTGTTGTTTTTGTTTGTTTGTTTGTTTGATTTTGTTCTGCTGTGACAGATGCAGCAGAGCTCAGACTCCACTGCATCTACTGGGGATGATTCCCTCACAAGCTCTCGCTGCACCAAGCTCCTCCCTCCCAGGCCCCTCATTGGCTGTGCCGGTGGTGGGACCTTGGAATCCTCGCAGCTTCCTCTTGAACCTTGAAAATGGGGAGAGAGCAAAACGAATTACATCTTTAAACAGGAGTTCAGAGAGTTAAATGTCTATTTTGGGAGAGGTCGAATCAGGCCAGCCGCTGGCGAACAAAATCTGCCATTTGTCTGTTCTCTGCAGCTGGGTTAGCAGCTTCTTTTTTCTTCCTGTTGCCAGATTGCTTTAAACGCTTGCCAATGATGGGATAGAGGGTTTTCAGAGCGTATGCCGCAGCCACCAGGCAGGCAGCCCTCTTAGCAGCACTCGATCTGGTCCATTTCACTCGATCAACTGCTGCACTTAGCATATGTGTCATTTTCCCAGTTACCCAAACCGGCTTCAAAAAGATCTCGTTTTAAAATATCATGCTCCACGGGAAATCCCAGCAAATGCTTCAGCAAGTCCTACGGAGTTCCATAGCCTGCAGCGTTTCTCCTCTGTTGTTTTTGTTTGTTTGTTTGTTTGATTTTGTTCTGCTGTGACAGATGCAGCAGAGCTCAGACTCCACTGCATCTACTGGGGATGATTCCCTCACAAGCTCTCGCTGCACCAAGCTCCTCCCTCCCAGGCCCCTCATTGGCTGTGCCGGTGGTGGGACCTTGGAATCCTCGCAGCTTCCTCTTGAACCTTGAAAATGGGGAGAGAGCAAAACGAATTACATCTTTAAACAGGAGTTCAGAGAGTTAAATGTCTATTTTGGGAGAGGTCGAATCAGGCCAGCCGCTGGCGAACAAAATCTGCCCTAGCTACTGAGCATGCTCAGCGTCACTTAGAAACCCGCAGAAGTTTCAGAATATTCATCTCCTCTCTAAGGTTTTGGGAGGTAGGTACTGTAAGAGAAAGCCAAACAGAAAGGTAGATTTCCAAGAGCTTTAATAAGAAGAGGGAGGAGGAACCAGGGAGATGAAGGAGGCGGACCCGAGGCTCAACATAATATAAATATAAGAAGGGTAAAGTACGAATCTGAAGGGGGTCAGAGGAAGAATGCGACACATGGGAGGGACACTGGAGAAAAAGTATCAACTACAAATACTCAGATCTGCTTTAGGTGTCTGTTCCCCTCGCTCTGTGATTTTAGTATGGTCCCAGAACCTATCAGACAAGTGGTAAATAAGGGTATAACTTGTAAATAAATACGAAGAAGTTTTTTTTGTTGTTGTTGTTTTTCTGTAGTACAGAAAATAATTCTTTGCTATACCTCCAGCTCATCTCCTTTTCCTACTCCTTCCCTACATTTGTCTTTGTAGAGTTTTATTTATATACAAATGACTGTTAAATAAGTGAGAGCATATTTTACTTATATCACCTCCTTGTGTGAGGTAGTTTTTATTCGTCAGTTTGTAAACCTATATTAAAATTTAATCATTTGAAAATCCAGCAGGAGTTAGATAATGGAAATAGCTCCTCCAGGATATTACTTTATTTTTTGAAAATTCTTGTCTTTTGAGAGGTTTTGCTTTGTTTTGTTTAGACTTAGAGGAAATTTACTGGCAACTTGCTATTTCCATTCTGACTGATTAACCCCAAATGCATTAAACAAGTTCTTTAGGGACCAGCAGTTAGCGTAATAGCTATGTTGCTGAACTCCCATGTAGTCAATCGTAGTTCGAGTCCCAAACCCGGCGACTTAAACTCACGCGGGGCGCATGAGCATGTGTGCCCAATATCCTGAGAGGAGAATATAGGAGAAGGGATTGCAGCGTGGCCATCCTGGGGGGAGGAGGGTCCTTACTTTCTGTCTCTCTGTCTTTCTGGTGAGGGTATGCGCCCTATAGCTAAAACCTCTCCAAAAAAAAAAAGTTCTTCACATTGCTAATGAATTTAAATTGTTAAATAATCAAGCAAAATTTAGATTATTTATAAAAATGTCAAGAGTATGTTTTAGGCAATGCCAAGTATATTTTTTAATACAGGAAAACCATTTTTTTTTTGTCCTTTGCAACCCCAAACACAGTAAACATATACGCTTGTAGACAACTGGGAGCTTGGAAAAATAACACATCAAGCTAGGGAAGAGCCTGATAAATTACAATTGGTGATCCAATCTGACCTGCCACTTATTATTATTTAATAACCTTTAAACTGAAAATGGTTTTTACATTTCGTAGTGGTTGAAAATACAACGAAAGAAGCCAGCCTGTGGTCTAGTGACTAAGGTAGATAGATCCCACATGGCTGTCCACAACATCTGAGTACTGACTTGGTGGCTTGAAAGACACGTGGGGAACATGTGGATGTGTACCCCAAATCCTAAAAGGAAGAAGAGAGAGAGGAGAAGGGATTGTGTCATAATCATGCCCCACAGGCATCACTTTCTCACTTTCCCTCTCTCTGACTCTATCTCTCTCTGGTGAGCATACATGCCCTCTGGCAAAATTAAAAAAAGAAAATGCAATGAAAGAAAAATAATATTTGTGGCCTGAAGATTATATGAAATTCTTATCTCCGTGTCTATAAATAAAGTTTTTTTTTTTGGAGAGGTTTTCATTATAGGGTGCGTGCGCTCGCCAAACAGACAAAGAGAGGCAGAGAGACAGAAAGCGAGAAATTACCCCCCAGGAGGGATGGCCACGCCGCAATCCCTTCTCCTCTATTCTCCTCTCGGGATCTTGGGCACGCACGCACACGCGCCAGGTGTGAGTTTAACAAACCGGGTCCAGGACTCGAATCGCGGGCGACTATGTGGGGAGTCCAGCGACATAGCCATTATGCTAACCGCTGGTCCCAATAAAGTTTTTTTTTTTGGAGAGGCTTTTTTTTTTTTTTTTTTTTTTTTTTTTTTTTTAGGGCTCCTGCTCTTTCCAATTTTTTTTTTTTTTTTGCTCTAGGGCTCCTGCGCTTTCCAGAAAGACAAAGACAGAGAGATAGAAAGTGAGAAATCACCCCCTGGGGGATAGCCACTCCACAATCCCTTCTCCTCCATTCTCTTCTCAGGATCTTGGGCACGTGTGCACAGGGGTGAGTTTAAGGCACCGGGTCTAGGACTCGAACTGCGGTCAACTACATAAGAGTCCAGCGACACAGCCATTATACTAACTGCTGGTCCCCTAAATAAAGTGTTACTGAAACAGAGCTAAACTCATTTATTTACTCCTTGTCTTTGGTGTCTCTTAAGACCTAGTGGCAGAGTTAAATGGATGGAACAGTTGCTAAAACCTTACTATTTGACCATTTAGAGAGGTTTACCAGCTCCCTCTGCTAGAATATGAAGTCTGTCTCAGTGTTCAATGATCTTTGTTATTCAGTTTTTCATGAATGAAGAACTATTCCAACTTTTATAAGTAACAAATTTCTTCTTATAAAACTCTCCTTTCCTATGTAACTATATGAATTACAAGAATCACCACATTTTTCTCTTCATTTGTTTCCATTCTATTTGACAATTTTACTAATGTATGAGTGACAAGTTCATGCAAGTCTCTTTGATAGCTGGTCATATCTTTACTCAATCATCCCATTAAGATTTTCTAAGTATATATGGAGATCATAATGTTGTGGTGGTTATTGTTAAAATCTTTTTTTTCTAAGCTCATGCTTTGGTGAATACAAAATAAGGTTTCCATATATTTATACTTTTTTTTTTTGGAGAAGTTTTTGCTATAGGGCGCGTGTGCTCGCCAGAAAGACAGAGACAGACAGAGACAGAAAGCGGGAAATCACCCCCCAGGGAGGATGGCCATGCCACAATCCCTTCTCCATTCTTCTCTCGGGATCTTGGGCATGCATACACACATGCCCGGTGTGAGTTTAAGCCACAGGGTCTGGGACTTGAAACGCGTTCGACTACATGGGAGTTCAATGACATAGCCATTACGCCAACTGCTGGTCCCTATTTATACATTTCAATAATTTCTCTCACACCTCCTGACAATTGAACACAGAGGAATTAACTGTGACAGGATAAGTTTAGGGCAAGGCAGAACCTCGCACAGAGAGGGATACATGGGTCAGACAGAAATTGGCATTTGGGACAAATGGCCTGCATCACTGACATACAACCACGAGCAGCCATATCAAGGAAGAGCCAAGACCATGGGAAATCTAGAAGCAAAGAACACTATGGATTCAAACAGGACTTGCAGTTAGCCTTAGGTAACTAAATGGGCTACCTAAGATAATGAGGATGGAGTGCAGGAACAAGCTTTTAATGCCTGGAGTGAGAGATTTGTGACAATGAAGAATTGAGTCTGACGAAAATGATGAAGGTAGAAATGTAATTTTCAAAATTATGGGACAAAGAAGTTGAAGGTCAACGAGTAGAACTATGAAAAAGGTGATTTTAAGTGACTTGATGTTGAACCACTCTGGTGATAGAAATTCCACTCCACTCTTCAGCCCACTCTGCTTCCAAATATCAGGGTTCATTTTAGCTTCTGAGACTAGGGTCAGATCTGCCTGAAGATAAGGCAGAAGCATTCCAGATGATAGGAAACCATATAGGCAATTAGAGTTAGAACCATAAGCTATACATATGTATGTAAGAAACTAAGAATGCCAAAGTGCTTTTTCTTATCGGAAGGATGAAATCAATGCAAAGAGAATGTTAATTTAGTTTGAATTCCAAACTAGGAAAGAACAAGGAGGTACAACATTAGTTTAGTTATTTTAGTAAACATATGTAGGCCTAATTTCTACTCAACCTCAACTTTATAGTTCATTTGGAAAAATACTAAACTTTTCTTAAGAGGGGAGAAATAATCTTTAAAAATTCTTGAAAATAAGTGAAAAAATTTAAAAATCAATAATTCTTAAATCACTGTGTTTTCAAGTGTAGTATAGATTTTAAATATATTGGAGAATATATTTTTAAAATTGTACTTATATGCTTTATATACCATAAAACATCAGAAATTGTTTATTGTAATAAACTACATATATACATATACATATTGTATATGTTGTATGTTTATATTACATAGACCAGAAAGTAAATAATTTTTAAAATTAGGTAGATAAATTGTTTAAAATATAAGAATTTCCTTCTCAGCAAATGCTGAAGAGTATTTCATCTAT